AAACAATTATTATAAGGGACCAAAATAGAATTTTAGCCTTAATTAAATAAGTACTTATAAATGAGATGAGAGTAGTAAGGTAAATTATATTCGTGGGTATCTATACTTTGAAATTATTAAACAAAATTAATTATTATAATATATATTACAAAATTATTTATTTTGATTACAATTATATGATATAATTTTTTTAATATAAATATATATTTTACTATTGTTTATTTTAATTTTATTTTATTTCTTATCCTTTTGTTTAAAATTTTATATTTTGAAAATATTTACGTATATGTGTATATAATTCACATGTACACTCTAATTAGAGGAATACTAGTGTCTCCTTTTTATATTATTATTAACTAAAATTTATTGTTAAAATAACAAATTTTGATAGGTTTTGACACTAAATTAGGAGAGAAACTCATTAAAGGGAATATATAGAGCTACCAAAACTTGTAATTTTCAAAAGTGTTAAAGGTGCCCTTAGGATTCTTCCAATTTATTCAATACTTTAAAAATCAAATCAGTTTTTAAACTCGTCAAATATTTGATCAATGGACTATAGGTTAAACTAGAATTGAACCAATGACCTGATTTCTATTTTTTTATAAAAAAAATTTTATATGATACATATTTCATACTTATAAGTTTCAATAAAATTTACATCATATATTAAAGAAGTCTCCAAAAAAATAAACTTACAAAACACATTTTAACATAATTATATACTTAAAATCAAAATCATCATAGCACAACAACAAAATAAATCATTTAAAAAATCAAATTAAAAATAAGGTTTTGGATTTTTTTTTTTATGTTTCATAAAATGTAAAGACAAAACAAAAAGAACTACACTCTAACATGTAGACACTCATGGCATCAGCCAGTAAAAGGGAAGCAAGTTAAGGAAACTTGGATGAACTAATCATGTGTGGTGCCATGCTTTACTAAAAGTCTGCACATGAAATAACTTGACGGAGGACATGTTTAAAGCTAACAATTCAATTTTAAAAAAATAAAATGTTAAATTCTCTTTATAAGCGAGTAATATGGATGAAAAACATTGTCATTTTTCCTAATCAACTTTAAGGTCATAAGGGAATCTGATTCATAAATAAGGTTGTGAATAACATCATGTCAAGCTCTCTAAAACACAAAAGATACCCAATAAATCCACTTTGAGACTGGTAGAGACCCCAACATAGCCAAAAAAAAACCGAAGCTCATTGTCTATTCAACACCTCCCGCATTCCCCAGTGAGCTATTGTCGGTTTTCGATTTGACGGCTGGAAAAATTGGTGGTTCCCATTTTAATGTTTTAATTTCCCTCATTTTCAATATATAGGAATAGATATAGTAATATGGTTACTTTTAATGAATTCTACCATAAATTTAAGTTTTATTTCAAATATACATTTTACGATAAGTGATTTTTATATTTAATATTAGTTATAAGTGAATGCATAATAAATATAATTAATAATCAACGAAGAATATAAATAAAATTTAACAATGAGTAATTTCAAAAACTAGTATCATTCTTTTCTAATGGTCAATTTTTTAAGAAAATTTTTTTCAGTTTAAGAGAATATTCATTATTTTTTCAATTATATCCTTATATCTATCCATGGGCTGAGTTGTGGTATACAATAATATCATCTTCCATGTCTCCATTGGTGCCACTCCTTTAGAGATAGTTTATGGTAGAAAGGCTCAAGCGATCACCAAATTTGTGGAGGGGAGGTTCGAGTGGAAGCTGATGCAAGGGAATTGAAGAATCATGATGAAACACTAAATCAACTTGAGTATCAACTAAGGAAGGCTCAAGATCATATGAAACACTATGCTGATAAACTTAGGAAGTCATTGGTTTTAGAGGTTGGAGATATGGTGTTTTCGAGAAGCTACATCCTCATTTTCTTTGACCCTACCAAATCATGGAAAGGGCTTGCGAGATTAATTACAAACTCAAACTTTCTCCATCTCCCAAAGTGCACCCTACATTTCATGTATCTCAACTTTAGATGGTAGTTGGACATTATTCACCTGATGTGGTTCTATCTGTGGATTTCCAGAGATAGTTTGTGCAGGGAAAAAATATTTATAATTTAAAATTCAAAGCAAATGTTGTTAATTAGTTTTAGTTAACATTATGGTAGGTTAATTTAGTTTAGTTTTTATTTTCTTTCTTTCAATTTGTTTGACCGGATCTTTAACACTTTTGCACGTTATAAGTTGTTTTTGTCATGTTAAATATTTTCTGGTTTTGTGGACACGCAGTGGTGCACCAACAGTTATAAGTTATAACATTCGTTTATATACTTCTATCTTGAAATGAAAGTGTCACAGCACAGTGAAAACACCTTAGAGAGCGAGACATAAATGTACTTTAAATTCAATATCTCATGTTATTTCTTGTCACGAAAAAAATCCTAACAAATCCGCTTACAAGAAAAGTTATTTATCAACCCAAACTTGAGTTGTCGAGAAGAAAAATCAACTAACGGATGTGGACCCCACCAGGCCCATTATCTGGCATGTTTATTCTAGGAGAAAGAATGCCAACGTGACTTGGAGAGAGGAGGAAAACCTCTGGTATTGGAGTTGTAACTTTGGGGGAAATGTGCTACATCTAGGCATTTGATGCAGTTTGAAACATTTTCCAAACGAAAGTTGAATCATGTAGTTGCAAGGAAAGAAAGCCTTAAAAACACGTTGCAAGTCTGAAAATTTCAGTTCACATGGAGTAGTAAGTATTAAATTCTGGAACTTACAAAACCTGCCAAATGGAAAATTAAACTCCATGGTTTGGAAAATTTGCAGTATTATCAACTTGATAATGATGCTTGCTTTCCAAGCTAAGAAACTTGGGTCAATTGTATGACTGATTTCGGTCTAACACGGTAAAACAGTATCGATAGATTATCAAATATTCATACATTGGGTTCTTGAAACACAAACTAGAAAAGAAAGAAAACAAAACAGACAAGGCATTACAAACTAAAATCTATACATGTCTTCTTAAATTAGTGAAGACACAAGGCACGCCATGAGTCAGATAAAAATTTCACCCCAAGTGGCCATGATGAGGCATTATTGATAAACATTTAGAGAGGCACTTAAAATGGGCACCACCATCTTCTGCTTCTACTCTCCCTCTGGTTTGAAGAGGCATAAGCATGAACAGCATGCTGATTTTGCCCAGCCAAATAGTGACCACCCAGATGTCTACTCCCTTCAATCTGAGAGTTATTACCTAACCACAAGACAAGAACAATGCCCACTAGACCGACAATTGGAGCTGCAGCAAGAAAAAACCATCTTCCTCTACCACTTCTTGTTGCAGAGGAATTCGCAGTAGAACCTGAGCTCACAACTCTCTGCCTTATACCACCTTGACTAGTATCATCCTCTTCATTCACATCGCCTCCATCAGAAACATCGGAGGAGCTATCATCCGTTACTTCTATTTGCTGCCTCTCATGGATCACATTTCTAGCATCAATGTTCTGCTTTCCCTCTTCATAATCTTTATCATCAGTTGGAAGCTCATAACGACAAAGAGGGCATGAATTTCGTGCACTCAACCATGGCAAAATGCAATTAATGTGATAAAGGTGAGAGCAGGGAAGCTGACTTACTTCAGTGCCAAGTGCCAAGACATCCTTGCAAATGGCACAAACTAGTTCACCATGTTTCTCATGTTCCTTGCCAATGACTACATGCGGCAGATTATTCACAAAAGACACAGAAGCAGGAGGTGCTCCTCGTCTTGAGCTGTCATTCTCAGCAAGATGCTCAAGCAGATCTTCAAAACGTCTAACATCAAGATAATCCCCAAAGTTTGCTCTATGAGGTAAATCAACATCCTCCAAAGCATGCCAGGTATCCCTGATTATCTGGCTGAACATTCCCTCAGATTCAGTTGAATTAAACCTTTGTTGCCAATGAATTTGATCCCTGTCCTCACGTGGACTTGAGGTGAAAAAAATTGGAAGGCGGGCTGTGGCTTCAGCTTCCTCAGTCTCAGCTAATTCCCATTCTCTATCCTCCTCTTCTGCCTCCTCTCCATCTTCATCTTCATCTTCATCCTCGTCCTCATCCTCGTCTTCATCTTCGTCATCTTCGTCTTCATCTTCATCCTCATCCTCTTCATCTGTAATCCATTGGCTTAGGCCAGCATGCATAGGATCTATGTCAGTGTCACTATCAAACTCATCTCTTTCATCTGGTAAATTAAAGATTCCAGTGCCTACAAAACTACGTGCATCCACAGAGATATCAGAGTCACCTCCATAAGCACTGTGAGAGAAAGAATCAGTCTCACCAACCCTGTAGCGTCTAAAACTAGCAATTGATTCATTGTCACCATAAAGAGAATTCCAATTATCAAAACCATCACTGTCAGTGTCAGAGAGAACCTGCCTCCACCTTCTAGACCCACTAGGGGTAGTATGTGTACTAGGAAATTGCACTGACCAAGCAGAGGCATCACCATCTACAAGTTGATCATCCTCCCCATATGCAGGTGATTGATGTTGCCTCACAGTATTAACCATATGGGGGATCAGTTGTGATAAATTATTCTCCACGGATTCAGAACTGTTGTGTCTAAATCTTCCTCTAAGCCTCCTCCGTGAGCTTTGGCTAACTGTATGACTCCCATAATCTTCAAGTAACAAAAATTTACAATCACCACACACACCACTGCTAGCAAGATCACTTGCCATTTCATTATCAGGTGATAGGGCCTTTTGGCAATGAGAACACACTGCAACCTGGGCAGAATCAGTGTCCCCATGAACCTGTGAACTAGACTGAGACGATGCAAATGATATATTCCCAGAATTTGCAGCCATCTGAAACCCCAGACAAAATCCAGATTTTACCAAGACAATAATATATATTCAAAACAGGCAATCAAACAAGCCAGAAAATGCCAATAACAAGGCATCTAAATCAACCATTAACAAGACACAACACTAAGCAGTAATCCAAAGTCCAAACAATTAGAACCGATCTACATCTAAGAATGGCACAAGCAAACAGACCAGTGAGACCATCAACTTGATAAAATCAACCGAGTTAAGCTCACGAAGAAGGTACTCAGACACTGAGAATCAATCAAGTATCAAATGTGATACCAAGCACATGAAATTGCTTACAGTATGGGAGAGCATTTCAACTCCCCAAACACAGGTCTACTTGGGACAAACTTGATTTTGGAATAAATTTTGCATGTTTGGTTATAATGATTCAAAATCAACTTTGCTCTTAAAATCACGTTTAACTACAACTGGAAAATATATATATATATATATATATATATATATATATTCCGCTATGGCCAAGGAGCTCCACTTTAACAAGGACGGCACCGCCATCAAGAAACTCCAGGTATTTATATATATATATATATATACACACACACACGCAATTTCTGTGCTAAGTAGAAAATTTTATAATACACAACAAACATACTTTCATAATAAAAGTTCCCAATCATAAACCCCTTCACTTCAAATTCATCTTCACCAAAAATCAATTTTACAAAATAAAGTTTATAACCGCTCACCCAAACACACAACCAGTGGCAGAGAGATGGTAACTAGTTCAATGATCCGCCTAACTAACTCGAAATGCGTATAATTGATGGAAAGAGGAAAGCATGCAAATTCAGGAATAAGTTAAACGCATTGTGAAACAATGTAACAAAAAAATAAAATGAAAATGAAAATGAGAATCATAAGATATCATGTATTCAAATCATCGAAGCGGAGTTACTAAACCACTACAATTACGAAACACCCAGAAGACGAAAATCGTCGATAAGAGTAAAAGCAATGTAGGGTTATCGTAAAGGTGGATTTTTGACGGCGTTAGATAGCGTAAAAACTGTGTGCTGAGGTGAGAAGAGTGAGAAAAAGTTACCTGAGAGAGCGAGTAACGGCGACGCGAAGAAGCAGAGAGTGGGATCGGCGAAGAAAGCAAAAAAAGATGTGAAATTTGAAGTGAGAAAATTGGGTTTGGATTTGGATTTGAATGAGTCGAAGAAGAAGAAGAAATCTTTTTCTTTCCTTTCTATCAAATCCTCAGCCGGCGACTCTGCCCCTCGTCAACACGCACCAAATCAAACGACGACGTTTCTTTCTTTTTCATTTTTCGTTTTTTTGAAGCCTTTTTTGTTTCCACTGTTCTACCAATGTCTAATTATACTACTATTCATTCACAAAATTTTCATTTCTTTTCTTTTAATAAATAATAATGTTCTGTTTACCTAAATAAGAAGATTTTTTCCCCACATTTTTAGTACCACTATTTTTTATTTCTTTAATTTTCTTAAGTAAAACGAGTGCTTTAAGTACTTTTTTTTTTTTTTTGGATTTTTCATTTCATTTCTTTTAATAATTAATAATGTTCTCATTTATCTCAATACCTAAAAAAGAAGATTTCTCCCACATTTTTAGTTCCGCTTATTTTATTGGATTAACTATATTTGATCCGATCTTTAGTATTTCCCTATTTCATTTTACTAACTTTTAGGTGTTATTTTTTTTATTTAAGTAATTAAGGATTTATGGTAGGTTAATTGAAATATGGAATGAAGTTAAAAAGCAATTTTATACTATCATAAATAATTATGTATGATAAATTTATTGATTTTTAGACTAATTATCTGATAACATTATATTTAAGAACCTAATCTTAAAAGATTCAAGAGGAGTAAATTAAACTTGAAGGTAAAAGGTCCAAACTCTTATTAAGATTTAGATCTATTTTAGTATTAGTAGCTCTATAATCTTTTGTGTATATATTTTTTCTTATTAAGGTATGAGAATGATGATTGAAATTATTAAGTGTAAAAGTATGGAAATGAGTATAAGTATTTTTTAAAATATGAGTATGGGGGTGGATAGTATCCTTAGACCTTACTCATTGTTGTCCATAGCAAAAAAACAATTTTGTTCTTTATATGAAGGTTAACATGGCTAAACAATTTCTAGGTAGTGTCATTCACAAACATGCCAACATTCTTTTATTTAATTATAAATTATATATTAATGAGTGGATCGAAATTACTTGAAAATAAGGAGATCAAATTTATAATAAAAATTGAAAATTAAAATTATATATTTATAGAAATTATAAAGATCAAAAGTAGATTTAAACCTATTTATTTTTCTTTAATGTAACTTTGTTTATTATTTAATTTTCTTATCATCTTATTGTAAAAAAAAATTATACTATCAATCAGTGAAAAACAATCATATGTAAAAAAGAGTCAAAAGAAAATCATGTAAAAAATATCTAAAGTAAGATTTTGTTTATATAATTGTTGTAGAAGTTAACAAATATATTATATTTAAATTTTATAATTGAATGATAGCATTAAAAAATATTATTTTTAGTAAAATACTTATTTATTTCTATATAAAAGATTTTTTTTAATGAGAGATAGTTTTTATTCTACATGGATAAGTTATCCTACATATTTAATTTTAAGAAAACATTTCCCTTAAATAAACTTTTTCAATAATCAATTTTCTTTATCTAGTGATTATAAAGTCTACTCCAAGATATGGGAGATTAATCTGATGCTTCCAAGTTCGATTCTGTTTATATTTAAATAATGTTTAACTAACAAAAATCACATCTTATAAATATAGATTAATTTTTTATTGTCAATTTTAGGACACTATCATAGAAAGAAAAATCCTTCAACAGTTGATAAAAATGTTTCTGGACTAAACAAGATTCCTTGCCCCAAAGTAGGGGGAGTATTATATTAACCCAATCCACTACGTCTACATGGTACTGGCCCAAGAGATTCACACAACACAGTGGATCACATCGTACAACCAAACAACAGTACATTTGCATACTGAGTTATAATTGAGCCTCTTTTGTTCAAAAGAAAAATCTAAAACACATTTTTTTAAAGAAAAAGTGCTTACCCAAATTTTAGAAATACTTGAGTGAATTATTTTTAATAATTAGGAGACAAAAGAAACAGAAAAATAGTTTTCTTTAGAACAGTTGCTGCGAGAGGATGAAGTTTTAAATTTTTTTTTTATATAACCAAACATAAATCAGTTTCTACTTATGTAAAAATCTCTGAAAATTTTAAAAAATCAGTTATTTTAAAATCACTTTCTTTGAAAGCCTAAGCAAACTACCAAAATCATAAGACCAAGCATGCTTTGGTTTTTGTCAACCTCGATATCATAATACCAAGCATCTTTGAAAGATGAGGAAAAGGGGTCCTTGGATCCCAAAATTTCAGTTTATATGAGAGAATCTTTCAGTGCTGAGATTGTTCTATATACACATACATGTCTGGCTATGGATCTTATGCAATTAACTTTTTAAGCACATAGATGTTGGTCATGTAGCATTTTCTTTTCGTATTAAAGTAAAATATGAACACTTTTTTCAAAAAGTACCTAGCATCATCCGATTATAGTTACCTCCATTAATTGCAGTTCAATTTTGAACTTTAAGGGATCTAGTTCCATACATGGTTACATTTTGTGTCCTACCAAAACCTGGTGCCAGTGTTGAACTACGTAGAAAAGATCTTTCCTTTGGATTTTGAGTCTCAAAGCTAAGCCAAACAATTATATTCTTCACAATTGCTTCGTTTAATGGGAAAGGCATCACTAAAGTTGTCACATGGAAAAGCTTGTTGAGAATTACTAATATTAACAATAAGAAATATGACAGATACAAATAAAAAGCACTATTAATTTGGAAAGAATTTAGTGAAGAATCATAGGTGTATGGTACTGACTTATGAAAATTCATTCAATCTATGCTTCAAGTAGGCTTTGCTTCGCTGGTTGTCTTTTGAGTTGAGTTGTCACTTAACGCGTATGACCCTTTCTCTCGTTTGATTTGTCCTTGGTTCACAAAAATAATAACTCAAAAAGGTTACACTTGGAAGTTCAGAAAATTTTAATAAAATAGAAAAAAAAACCATAATATGGTATACCACATAATTATTATAACAAAACTTCCTATATACCAAGGTTGAGTTACATAAACAACCATTTGATCATATTTTTACTTTTCGGGAGAAATGAAGGAATCGATGGACCATCCATCCATAATTACCTTTTATAAACATTATTGCCTTTCTCATGCAATAATGGAATTATGAGAAGAAAAAAGGAAAAGAAAAGAAAGGCTAGCCCGCCTGAATAGTATGAAATGTTATGCCTTTAAAGGTTCTATCCCTACACATGATATTTCACATCTTTAAAGTTAGATAACAATAATAATAATAATATGGTATCTTTCAACTACTAAATCAAAAATCAAAAATTAATTTTACTTATAATATCGTGTTTACTGTTGACTTGACAAGTTTTAACATAAGATAAAAATTGAATATTGATTTTTCATTAACTAAATTGTTCTTATAATATATAAGTGTAAAATATTTAACTGCCGTATCAACTCATCATATTAAATTAAGTAAAATTTAATGGTTAAGAACATGTAGATATATTGATTGGTTAACGTGTTTGGAAGATTTTATTTATTTTTGTATTATTGAAAATATTGTCATCAAGCTATTAAGGGTAACCGATAATTTACTCAGTGCAGAAGAAATATGTTGGACGTGGCCTAAATGAAGGGGACACACACCACACACATGTTTGTTACAAGTTAAAAGCAACATTTATTTTTCTCTCTCTATGAGTGTTTCTATATCTTTTTGGGACACCATTCTATTTTCATGTCTTAATCTTTTATCAGAAAATCTGACTAATTATATTTAACTATTTGTTTTTTTCGTTTAAGGGTGAAATTTGATATCTTATTTAAAAAACTTGAGTTCATTTATATTCGAACCAATGAGATGCTATGACATGTGATTAAGAAGCAACCGTTAATATTAACATATTATATGGTTAACATTTCATTTCATGAAGCCGGAAAAAAAGCAAGGAGAAGAAAAAACAGAGTTGGTTGGGTGGCAGTTGAATCTCTCCTCGTTCTGGTTTTGTGATCTCTGAGGTTGTTGTTGTAGCATGGCGTACAGGAGAAGGCAAGGTATATCCAGGGCTTCCACCTTCAAGGAAGAATTTCATCCATCATTGGATGATGTTAAGGATTCTGATCTTGACAATGCTTCTCCATCAATCTTCTCATCTTCCTCTTCTTCAACATCATCTCTCGCTGCTCAAGCCATCAAAGCTTCTTCTTCTCATCGTCAACCATCTCTTTCCTTCGCCTTTTCCCCCTCCGACCATCAAAGATCCAAGGTATTGGATGCTCAATATGCCTTCATTTGTTTTAGACCAACCATTGTATCAATGCTTTTCATCAATTTCCCATTATAACTTTGAAACTCTTGATTTCATATATAGATACCGACTGATAGATAAATAGATAGATAGACAGATAGATAAATATACAGAAAGATACAAACAAATGGATAGATAGATAAATAAAAGGTGAGGATGTGAAAAGAGAATAGATAATTTTAAGGATTCAATATTACAATGATGAATCAAAATTGATTCTGGACAATCTTAATCATTCATGTACGATTAAAGGATCAAGATCAACTCTTCTCACCAATCTTACATTTCACTTGATATGACTTATGTGTGTATATAAAAAGTGAGAGTGTGGGAAATATTGACTCAATTAACATATAATATATGTAGTTAATTCCTCAAATGAATGAATGCAGAGCTTTGAGTCTGAAGGGAATGACAACTCCAAGGCTGCTGGTTTCTGGGGTGTGATTGCGCAGAAAGCCAAATCAATTCTAGATGATGATAAGCCAGCTCCACAACATGACATCATCAGGCCCCAAACACTCAAATCGCACTCATTTAATACCTTTACAAGTCCTGCAACTCAGGTGATTATTGTCATGTATAATTTGGCGTTTGTTCACTCGCTATTACGTTATATACAATGCATGAAGATCTGATATAATATGATATGACGCTTATATGAAACATAAAACTTAAGGCTCTTGATTTTGGAATGAATATGCCTGACATTTTACTTTTCTAGTTGGACTGGAATCAACTTAATTGTGTGTATGTGTGTGTTTTTTCTTTGGCATGCTTAGAACAACCCTTCACAATTCAAGCCTGTGTATGAATCCCTTGACTGCAACAGAAAAATGGACAATCCTAAATTTCGGAAGGGGTTGGATGCAATCACTTCGTCCCTCAATCAACTAGGTGACACTTTTGAGAAGGCTTTCGAGGTAAACAATTTGTCTCTATCTTACTTCCATTTTGCGGTTGCTTTCTCTACAATTCTAGTTGGTCTATAGATGCAGGTTGCCATTTATGATTTATCATCAACACAATCCAGAAATGTTAGGAGCAGCCACAATTTTCATATCATTTCTATATTGGTTAATAATGATTAATGACTGAATTATTAGATATGAAGGTGTATTATAAATTGGTTAAATTACTAATAAACTGATAACAGATTATTAGTCTGTTGATCAATCTATATATATTATTAACCAATAGTCTAACCACTGTTATGGTTTGCAAATCACTGAGTTAAACACAAAATATAGCTGCCAGCTGTTGATAAATTTATCTGAACTCCATGTTTCAACAGTACATCACATATTCATATCCCAAAGAAGGAATACTGAATACAGGCAGAGTTTCTTGTTTAGTTAGTTACTCGGTTTTGTTTGGTAACTGGCTCACTTACTTATTGCTAATGCTTGATATATCACTTTCTCCGATTCAACGCTGCTTTTCTAATTTCTTCAGGAAGGCCGAACAATGATGGAGAATAAGACAGCAGACCTGAGAACTCAAATTAGGCGAAAAAGTAACTCTGTGGACATAAACCAAACTTCAGATATGAGAAATCCACTACAAGAAGCAGTCCAGACACAGACTCAATCTAGCCATGAAACAAAACTCAAGGCATCACGCGACGTAAGGTGGCAACTATGCAATCATGTGTTACTGCCCTCACTGGTTCATGTAGTGAAGGCATACAATGTCTTATATAATATTGGAGTTGTTAATGGATTTTAAGTTAGCATAAGAGTGATCTTATTTCCATGTCAAGTCATTAATTTAAATTCAGTTCACAAATGGCCTTGAAGAAACGGGTCTACTTCTTAAGACTTTGGCTACCTATAGGCATTCATTCATACTCAATGTAGTTGTAGGAAGCACAGTTTAACTTTTGCATTTGATTTTGATTGTGGACATAAAACTGAGTATGTGATGGTTTTTTATTTGAATCAAGATGTTTTGGTTTCTTCATGTGACCAAAGAAACATAATTTCATTTTGATCCGGTTGCAGGTGGCAATGGCTACAGCTGCCAAAGCAAAATTACTTCTTCGCGAGCTAAAATCTGTTAAAGCAGATTTGGCATTTGCCAAAGCCAGGTGTGCTCAACTTGAAGAAGAAAATAAAATACTCCGAGACCGAGAGGGCAGTGAAAAGGGACAGAACCGTGAAGATGATGATCTGGTATTAATTAGCTTGATGTTTCTCTACTTCAACTTTGTGTTTATACATCTAGAAGCACTCACATTGACATGGCAAAATTTGAAGTGTCCTATTATGTCATGTGGTGTTATTGGAAAAAAGCACAAGTAGCACTAGAGATAAAGTAAAAATAGAATATATAAATTATCTTATGAGTTGGTTTTATAGGATTAAATTAGGTCTAAACTTATGCTTTTAAGATGGTATTAGAGCTTTTCATATATCCATCATTATAAAAATGGTCTTTTACCTTTTTATTCACATATCAAACCCAATAATATTGAATCAGACAGAGTATATTGGAAAAAATTCAAGTGAGACTAAAGATAAGGTCAAGATAAAGTATACAAGTGAGAAATAATTATCACCTTATAAGCCAATTTTGTAGGATTAAATTAAGCTCAAATTTACGTTTCTAAGATTAATAGTATTAAGTATTGACATGAGTATTGTCTCTGGTATCCTTTATGCATGCTTCATTCATAGGTAGATGCACGCACGCACGTATGCATAATGCATCATGTACATTACTCACTACCTTGTTTTGAGTTTTGCATGAGTTAGAAACTGAACTCGTCTATATTTTTGTGAGAACCTCAGATCAGGCATCAACTGGAGACACTTCTTGCTGAGAAGGCTCGTCTGGCGAGTGAGAATGAGACATATGCTAGGGAAAACCGTTTCTTAAGGGAAATTGTGGAATACCATCAGCTGACTATGCAGGATGTGGTGTATATAGATGAGGGCATGGGAGAAGTCACTGAAGTTTACCCTGCAGATGCTGCTGGCTTCACACGGTTGTTATCTGTCTATCCACGCTCATCATCACCACCATCTCCTGATGAGGTTCTTCTAGCCCAAACTCCACCGATGTTGTCAAAAGAAATATTTACTGTGCCGGAAGAAGAAGATTACAAGAGTACATCAGATGATGAGGCTCCTTCAACTGTCTCGGTTTCTCCACATACAAAATGATACCTTTCTTATTCTTTTCATGGTTTAGCCTTAGAAGAGGTTCTCTTGTTTTCAGGAAAAGTGCATGCTTTGGAACTTTTTGTTTTTTTTTTCTATCTTGTTGCAAAGTGAGGAAGAGTGGGGTATATGAAGAGAAAGCCATATTTTTTGTGTTGTGTTCCTTTCATGGTAAGGTTGGTTTGGCAAATGCCTTTGTATTGACTGATCATAATTTTTTGGAGCTGGATGTATTACGAATATGACAAATTCAATTAACATTTTAAAAGTATTTAAGAATAGGACAAATGAGTTATCATATTTCACATCAATATATCAATTTGTCCTCTTGGTCTACGGAGTACTGAAAATGAAAACCAGGGTCGAGCGAATTCTCATGCAAAACGCTTTATGAAAAGAAAGGAACGATGCGCTAATGAAGTGAATTTGTCATAAAATAAAGTAGAGAAATTCTGTAAGGTAATAATAAACTAACTCAATCATGAGAGTGTACATTGTTCGAAACACTTCAATATAAATCCTTATGTGGTTCTGCTCAAGGGATTCAGCTACCCTCTTTGAATCATGATCCGTTGCAGCAAATTATTTCTGACAATGTAACTCCTCTAATTCGATTCATCGTTTTCTTATTCATCAGAAGGACGACATGCATGCATTTGAATGAATTTAGCATCTGCGAAATAATTACATGTTCTGTTTTAATAGAAACATCACATAAAATATGTATCTAAACTTCTGAAGGTATACTCGCTTAAAATTGTTCATATGATTGGAAACTTGGTATGTTGACCACTGAGTGTAGGGATGACAAAAATACATGTACGTGCAGGTATCTGTAGGTAAAATTTACTACAGATATTAAATGCATAGGTTAATTGGGTGCTTGCGAGTATCTGCAAGTAAAATCTACTACGGATAATAAATGGATAGGTTAATTGAGTACATGCGGATAATGGAGACGGATAATTTTTTACCTGTTTATAAATGGAGCGGGGGCGGGTATGAGAATATTCATATCCGCAGGTACCCGTTTAATAATATTTATTAAATATTCTAATTATTCTTGTACCACATAACCCTAAAACTACACTCTCTCATCTTCTTTTCTTTTCATAAAATTACGTTGGATGTAATTTGATTAATTTTCTAGCTTTGAATGAACCAATAAGATTTGTATATTTTAAGTTGTTTACTTTCATTTGAAATTATGAGATTGAATTATTGTATCTTTGTAATACGAGACTTTCACTTGTATGAGATTGATGTATTTTAAATTATTAATTATCTTGTATTTTTATTATTATTTCAACAAAATTAACGTTAAATACTAGTTCAAAATCAACATTGAATTTTTATTTTTAATATAAACTTAAAATTATTTGTAATCTAATTTTTTTAATTTTTTAAAAAAATTTAAAATATCCATAAATATCGATGAATATCCGTGAGTATTCAAGAAATTCATGAATACATGTTTAATAGATACTCGTGCGAATATAAAGTAAGTATGTGACCAATTTTCATTAACAGGTTTACTATTACCTGCCCCCATTGCCATCCCTAACTGAGTGGAAACACTTCTTGTTATGTTGGTGCTTAATTTTCTTAACATTTTAAGATTATGTTTATGAATTTAACTATAGTTTCTATATAACATAAACTAAATTCTATAATTTCAGATTCTATAAATTCAGAAATTTGTCAATTCTTAAGCATAAATAATTCGGCTATATGTATAGGTCGAGGAAACTGTAACTCAAGTCATTCGACAGGTTACTGCACATTAAATGAATTAAATCTGGCATTACTATAATTTTACTCGTTTTTAAGAGGCAGCTGTCATTGACATTGATTTTGATCCAAGCTGGTTTTAGGACCCATCAACGGTTAGAGTTGATTTAAGTGTAAACATATCCTAACCCATTCAGGGCATCTATTTATAACCAGGCTCGAACAAATTACGGACTTACACTTGCTTTCTAATACCGTGATACACGGAGATCAGCAATACATTAACCTTGTGGTCCAATTGACTATTACAAAAATAAACTAGTATCCACAAATTTAGTACATGAACCGAAGTGAGATTTTTAATCATAATCTGTCCATGGGCAACACTCCTTAAGGTGTGCTTCAGAACCCACAAAGAGAAATTTGAAAATAATAAATGTTTAAAATTGACACTTTGATTCGCACTATATCACAGAATCGCTATGTAATTAGGAGAAAGACACCTTCATTCCTTGCCAATGAAGAGTCTCATTTAATTATATTTTCAATCAACTTCCTAGTTTACAGGGTCACTTAGATACACTCATCCTTTTACTAGTACATTATATGAACGCATGACCACTTTAATTCTATTCAGCTGCATTCATCTTCTGAGTATCCCCACGTTGCCTCTAGAGCATTTTACATGTGTTGCTGTATATTATACGATTACCACTGCTGCTTTGAAAAGGTAAAGCTTCAAAGCAGAAAAAACTTCCTGGCTTGTATTTATATATTATTTCAGAATAACTGGAAAAACAGGCTAGTAGAGCCGTCTCCAAATGACCTAAGATCTGCGGGTTTTACCAAAGCCCTGCACAATGGGCAGGTTCTTTCTCTCTCAAACCTGGCAAAATAAGATAAATCAGGTGCCAGAAAACACATCTAGAAGCAAATGTCCATTACTAAATAGCAAAAAATTCTTAATCATGTTAAATTTGATATAAAAGACAAATAATATCAACGATTCGTCGGATGGATCAGTAAATCTCATATTCTACATAAAAGTAATTGAACAGTGCAAATGTAAAAGCAGGACACCTGGTGTCAACGATCCCTATCCATATATTTGGGTGCGTGAGTGAATATAAAAACAGGATGTAAAACCTGATAACCTCAATACTAAAATAGATTCACAAATCATAACAAATTTTTTAACAGACAAATATGAAGCGACATATATAACTATATTAAACCTAAAGATTGAAAATTCACATACTGGTAATCAACTGTTGAGCTAATTCTACTCGAGTGCAAATGACATTTACAAATCATTAAGCAGACCAGTACAAAAGAAAAACAACAGCAAAGCAATTCTCACCACTCTGAGACACAGTCTTCACAGAAAATATGTTTACAGCGTAGCAAGATTGGGGCATGCATCTTCTCCTGACAAATAGCACAAAGATCACCAGCTGCATTGACCTGCCATCAGATGAATTACTTACATGAACAACTTTCTGCTCCCACGCATGCATATAGCAGGCTATAAAGTTTTTAACAGACTAAAGTGTGCAAATGCCTATTGCTAAAATAATTGCAAATTCTGTATATAACTAATAAAGCAGTAATTTGCAGTGAAAACGGACAGACATTGAGACTTCAGTGATTGATTGACCAAATCCAAAATCAATGTTCAAAAGAAGATACACAAAGTACCTGCTCTGATGTTGCATAAGCCCCATAGTGCATTTCTTTTCGTGACAATGCCTTCACTGCAGCAAAGAAGGATTGCACCTGACAACCACGCCACAAGGTAAGATAAGAACCACTATATGCAAATGGATGCAACCCACAGATAGTTGACAACAAAAAACTGAGTACTTCATCGTGTCCACAAAAAATGATGTCATTATAGTTAGGGTCCCCCTTTTTCAGGAATAATTAAACAAACAGTAAATTAATATGCATTATACGAGAAAAGCTTCTCCAAACATCTCACTTCGGGAAAAGCTCTTCATTTGCGAGATTTAAAAATCATTTGGAAGTTTAAAAAATCAAGATTCTGAACCAAAAAAAAAATCATTTTCATCTTTTTCTCTGGATAGATTTTTTAGCTTTAGCAAAGAGCTAATTTCTACGGCTAACATTTTCAGCTTGATCCAACTCAAAAAAATGGAAAGCAAAAAACACAACTAGTTTCATATTTATTTAGTTTAACAAACAAAAGAAGTTAGCAGACAGAAAAAGATTCAAATAAATCAAAATATGCACAAACTGGAATAACTTTAGGGTTGCAGGCAGATAAATGTAATACAATGGGTTGAACTTGAATATTATTGTTAATAATTTAAGATTAAGGGGCAGAGAGAGACACTAGGGAGGTCACTCTTGAGTCTTGACAATCTACACTCAAATAAAATAGAATCCACATATATTTTATAAGACCAACACACCTTTTCAACAACAGACGTGAGTTTAAATGTTAGATACAATCCTGTCATCAGTGATGAAAAGAGGCTTCCATATTCTTTGTTCAGGAAGAAACGATACCAAACTGGTGTTGGCAACAAGGCACGGTAAAGCAGGAGGAGGTATTCAACTAAAGTCAGCATTTGGCCCTGACACATAAATGATAGTACCATCAGAATACAATGACATGTTAAAGATGATAAAAAATCCTGAACCAATAACTCTAGGAAATGTTACAAGAGATGGCAGAAACATGATGACCATAATATAACTAAAGAAATGAGCCATCTAAAAATGTTCTTCTATTCCCCCAACAGAAACGATCAGCTTCAACTTCCCTAGTGCTTCAAAATTTATTACCTCACCTGTTTACGATAATTTCGGCCACGGCTATTCTTGTAATACATCAACAATATACACTTGAATACCATTGCAGCCTGGCGCACTAAAGTATCTGACATTTTAAACCACAAATGGCAAAGCAATGAGGTTAATCATCCAATGAGTTTCAACCAAAGAATAAACAAATAATTCCAATATCAGCAACAAGTAAGAACCCCCATCACAAAAGCAGTTCCGTGCTAACATGTTAATTGCAGGCATACATCAGTTCGACAGAATTCAAACCAAAATGAATAAAAAAAGGCACAATTCATGCTTCAACAGAAGCATGGACAAAGGATACAAATTAGTCGCCCAGTTAAAACCCCTCTGCTGCTAATAGTGCCATTGTTAGTATAAATCATTCTAAAAAACTCAATTGCAAAAATATTCAATTGCAAAAAACTCAAACCACAAACCTAACTAGAAAGGAAGACTTCAAGAAAGACACACACATTTAATCTTTTTTTCTCAACCACTCGGCAGCATGACAATCGCAAAGTTGACATAAAAATAACAAGCCATCAACATCAAGCAATTAGCAACCTAGGCAATCGTTTGGGGTTGGAGAAACACACCATTCACCATGATGATGAAAAATAACAATCCATTAACATCAAGCAATGAGCAATGTAGGCAATCATTAAGGGGTTGGAGAAACACACCATTCACCATTATGATGAAAATCGCGTGCCAGAAAGGCGGTATATCCTTAGGAGGAAGCATGATCAAGGGATACATTAGATCATCATTTTGATACCACCAATAAACGCCAACGACATGAAGCGCGAACCCAACAGAAATCCCAATCAAAACCGGTATCTTCCTCTCTCCCTGCACCCACCAAAACAAACACCACAATTCTCAATCTCAAACACTAAAAACACCACATTGCCTCCCCACCCACAAAAAAACAAACGAACCATCACCTTCAGCGCAGTTTGTTTCCTCAGAATATCATTCGACTTGAAAAGCACAGCAGCAATCCAAATGGTCACAAAAAACCCTGCAACAACAACGTCAAATCAAAAACACCCCTTAAAAGGATTCATCAAAACCTTTCACCACAAACAATCCCTAACAACGTCAAATCAAAAACACCCCTTAAAGTGATTCATCGAAACCCTTCACCAAAACCGCACCTTGCAAATGCTGCCTGATGAAGACCACCAATAGAAGCAAGGAAAACGGCAACACCTGCTCAATCCACCTGGCGGCATGCTGAATGTCATATCTCTGGTAAGACGAATCCCTCCCTACACCATCGGATGGCGCCGCC